TTGAATTTTGAGTTAGACTTAGAAAATAACACAGATACCAGGTTCCATTTCCAGTATGGCAGAGTGAGCTCCTAATAGACTGATTCTCCCACATATAATAACTCCTAACAATTTACAAAAAAAAAAAAGTACCTGAAGCATAGCTACTATAGAATAAAGTACAGAGATTCCTCAAAAAATTAAAAGTAGAACTGTCATATGATCTAGCAATTCCACTTCTGGGTATTTATCCAGAGGAAACAAAAACATGATCTCACAGAGGTATCTGCACCTCCATGTTCACTACAGTGTTATTTACAATAGTCAAGATATGGAAACAATCTAAGAGCCATCAATAGATGAATGAATAAAGAAAATGTGCTATAGAGACACCTGGGTGGCTCAGTCATTAAGCGTCTGCCTTAAGCTCAGGTCATGATCCCAGGGTTCTGGGATCGAGTCCCGCATCGGGCTCCTTGCTCGGCGGGGAGCTTGCTTCTCCCTCTACTGTTCTGCCTGCCACTCCCCCTGCTTGTGCTCTCTCTCTCTCTCTCTCTCAATCTCTCTGTACAAATACTGTACAATCTCACTTATATATGGAATCTACAAAAACAAAAAACAAACTCTAGAAAAAAAAGAGATCAGATTTGTAGTGACCAGAGGTAGGGAGAGGGAGAATTAAATGAAGATGGTCAAAAGATACAAATTTCCAGTTATAAGATAAATAAGTACTAAGGATATAATGTATGACATGATGACTGTAGCTAACATTGCTGTATGACACAAAGGAAAGTTAAGAGAAATCTTAAGAATTCTCATGACAAGGAAAATATATATATATATATATATTTTTTTTTTTTGGTACTTAGATGATGGATGTTAACTAAACTTACTGTGATAATCATTTCACAGTATATATATATGGCAAATCATTATGCTGTAGCCCTTAAACTTATACAGTGATGTTTATAGATTATAGCCCAATAAAACTGGAAAAACATTAAAAATTTAAAAATAATAAAATAAAATAACTACCTGAAGGCTCTGAAGCATGAACAAAAATAGATTTGGTAAAAGGGTGAGAACTTGGAAGAAGGTACCACTATGGGGTGAGTTTTCCATTTATTATAGTTTAGCCTGAAGGCAGACCATAGTCAAGCTACAGCACAGAGGAGTCAAAGCTCATAGAAATCGTGGCTTGAAAAACCAAAGGACAGAGCCCAGGAGAGCCAAAGAAGTGAGCCTAAGATTCTGAGATTTTTGCCCAAGTCAATGGCTGACCCCTGAACCACAAATGTGTGAAGTAAGCTTAAAGCATTTTCAGCTAAGGCTAAAAACTGAATGATATTTGGACTGCTGTCTAGTGAGAAAAAAAATCTAACTTTGAGTTCCTCAGAGAAATACAGTAAAATCCAGAATCCCCATAATGTCTAGGATACAATCCAAATTACTCTGTATAACAAGGTGACCCAATTTGAAGGGAAAAGACAATCAACAGAGGCCATCCTCAAAATGACCCTAATGTTAGAATGATCATACAAGGTCTTAGAGCACCTGCGTGGCTCAGTCAGTTAAGCATCCGACTCTTGATTTCGGCTCAGATCATGACCTCAAGGTTGTGAGGCCAAGCCCTGTCAGACCCTGCACTCAGCCGGGACCGTGCTTGGGATTCTCTCTCTCTCTCATTCTCCCTCTGATCCCCCCAACTCCATGCTCGTGGACTTTCTAATAAATAAATAAATCTTAAAAAAAAAAAAAAAAAAAGAGGGGCACCTGGGTGGCACAGTTGGTTAAGCGACTGCCTTCGGCTCAGGTCATGATCCTGGAGTCCCGGGATCGAGTCCCACATCGGGCTCCCTGCTCGGCAGGGAGTCTGCTTCTCCCTCTGACCCTCTCCCCTCTCATGTGCACTCTCTCTCTCATTCTCTCTCAAATAAATAAATCTTTAAAAAAAATAAAATTTAAAATTTAAAATTTAAAAATTAAAAAAAAAAGAATGATCAATCAAGGTCCTTAAAGCAACTATTAAAAAACTATACTCAGGGGCGCCTGGGTGGCTCACTCAGTTAAACGTCTGACTCTTGGTTTCCATTCAGGTTATGATCTTGGGGTCCTGGGATCGAGCCCTGAGTCAGGCTCCCCGCTCGGTGTGGAGATGGCTTGGGATTCTCTCTCTCTCCTTCTCCTCTGCCCCTCCCCCACTCACACATGGTCTCTCTCACTCTAAAAATAAATATTTAAAAAAAAAAACATACTCAATGAGATTTAGAAAATGCTTATAATGAATAAAAAGAAATCTCAGGAGAGAGCAAAAGTATAAAAAAATGAAAATTCTAGAACTGAAAAATATAGTATCCAAAATAAAACTTTTACTGAATGGGCTTAATATTAATAGCAGAATGGAGATGACAGAAGGAAGAGTCAGTAAATTTAAAGAAAGATGAATAGAAATTATTCAACCAAAAGAATAAAAAAAAATTGGAAACAAAATGAAAAGATTCAGCAATCTATGAAATAATATCGAAAGGTCTAAAATTATAGGTTTCAGGCAATTTTTAAAGAACATGTAAAATATTTCCTAATTTTATGAATGAACAATAACAAAGTCATTACTGTCTGAGTTCTAGTCTCTCCTATTTGCCTAGCTGTTCTGTTTTGTTTTTTTAAAGATTTTATTTATTTATTTGACAGAGAGAGACATAGCAAGAGAGGGATCACAAGCAGGGGGAGTGGGAGAGGGAGAAGCAGGCTTCCTGCGGAGCAGGGAGCCCGATGCGGGGCTCAATCCCAGGACCCTGGGACCATGACCTGAGCCAAAGGCAGACACTTAACGACTGAGCCACCCAGGTGCCCTAGATTAATGGTTTTTAAATGTAGCTGCTCCTCAGAACCTCCAAGGGAGTTTTTTTAGAAATACAGGCTTTATTCCAATATTCACATTCAGAAGGCCTGATCTGTGGTGGGACCCAGATGTATCTGCATTTTCCTTTAAGTTTCCTAAGTTATTTCTGAAGATGAGCCAACTTTGAGCCACTACACTAGATTTTCCTGAAGAGCTATGCAGTGCATGTGACAGGGACTCTTGGTACTAATAGCTTGTAAATTCTCAAAGGAAAGTTCTGTATGTAGAGATATGATATCCACCAAAATCTTGTAACCAAGTCCTTTGAGAAAGGAGCTGTGGTTTATCATTTTTATCACAGCAAAACTTTTTAATGAATATTAAAGGTATTGAAAAGAAGATGTTCTATGCTACCCCCTAACAGATTCTTAAGTATGTACATCACAGCAAATAGATCTCCAAATATAAAAAAATTCTCAGCTTTGTCAGAATTATTTGGGTAGTCATTCATTCAACAAATATTTGCTGAGGGGCGCCTGGATGGCTCAGTTGGTTAAGCGACTGCCTTCGGCTCAGGTCATGATCCTAGAGTCCAGGGATCGAGTCCCACATCGGGGTACCTGCTCAGCAGGGAGTCTGCTTCTCCCTCTGACCCTCCCCCCTCTCATGCTATCTCATTCTCTCTCTCAAATAAATAAATAAAAAATCTTTAAAACAAAACAACAAATATTTGCTGAGCAAATACTACATGCCTAGCATTGTGTTAGGTGCTGAGGCTATAGCAGTGAACAAAGTGACACAACTCTCTGTCTTCATGAAGCTGATATTTAGTGATGGCAAATAAAGCAAAACCACAGTATAGGCAGCCACCATATCTTAGAACATGCACACACAACTATAGCAAGGGCTGATTCTTGGAATTAAAGTTCTTTTACTATAATATTCTTACCCTCTCCAACTCCTCAGGAAGGAATCAGAAATAGTATTTTTTTTTAAATGTAACTAATGTAAACAAAGCAGGCGTAGCTCACTTCACATAACAGTGTCCCTGAAACACTATGCCTAAATAAAGTTTAGCAAACCAAATAATTTTATTTATTTTTTTAAAGGGAAAGCCTTCTTTTTTTTTTAAGATTTTATTTATGCATTTCAGACACAGAGATACAGAGAGAGAGAGAGAGAGAGCATGGGCAGAGAGAAGCAGAGGGAGAGCGAGAAGTGGGCTCCACGCTGAGCCAGGAGCCTGATGTGGGGCTCGATCCCAGGACCCTGGGATCATGACCTGAGCCAAAGGCAGACGCTTAACCGTCTGAGCCACCCAGGCGCCCCGCAAACCAAATAATTTTAAATACATTCCTTGGGAAAGTAAGAGCTATTAGGAAAATAGCAGTTATCGCCTTCCTTTGGGATATTCTGCTATGACTCTTCTAGTAAATATATTTATTTTAGCAGTTAATCTAAGACATTTTGTTCAATGAGAAAAGACAATTTCAAGAAGGTGAACAGTATAATTGCAGAGAAGTGAAGGAATTTTTATATTTATGTTTATGAACATATGCCCAAAAAACAAAACAAAACAAAAAGTACAACATGCACCTTTTAAAAGATATAAAACTAAATTCTTAGAAAGGTATGCTAAGATGATGATGGAGATTTTTTTCACTTTCCTAATTACACATTTCTCCATTGTTTGGATTTTTTTTTTTTAAGATTTATTTATTTATTTGACAGAGAGAGTGGGTAGGAGGGGCAGACGGAAAGGGGGGAGAGAATCTTAAACAGACTTTGTGCTGAGCGCAGAGCCTGATGCAGGTCTCAATCCCACAACCCTGAGATCACGACCTAAGCCCAAACCAAAAATCTGATGCTTAACTGACTGCACCACCCAGGTGCCCCACAATTGTTTGGATTTTCTAAAATAAACATGTATTACTTCTATGAGCAACAAAAATAATAAAAGATATTCCATGGGAGGGTTTGAGGGGAACAAAGCAGATTTCTGTAACTTGAACAATTACCCCTAATTTTAATGTTTGGAGATTTATGTTACTGTTGTTTTCTAATATATATCATGGTTTTTCTTCAGACAGGACATACATGTGTTCCTCTTTTCTTCCATTCCTCTATGTTGCACACACTGGTTGCCTTTCAAATATAAATAATTATATTCTTTCCATACCTGATGGAGGGATCATCATCCTACGATCCTGTTCCCATGGAGGTGAAAGGGACCCAGTGTCAGAAAGTGCTCTGTGAGCATCAGCTAACCTATCACAGCTTGATTCTCCTCTTTCATTGGTATTCTGATGGTCCAGAGGATTCCCTGGGCCTCTTGAGCCTAATTAAAGAAAAAAATACAATTCTGTTTTACCTAAAAAAGTATTATAAGACCTATCATCAAATGAAATCCAGGCAGCTTTTAAAAAGTGAGAACAATCAGATTCCAACAGTTTCCCTAAGACACATTAGACTACAATTCTATCCTACCAAAGCCTAGGACAAAGTCTAGGACAATGAAGAAATAATAGTTTGGCCATGTGTATAAACAAACAACTGCCTATTAAACTCATTTATAAATGTTATCATCATCATTTATACATAAAATCAGTGGCTAAACTGTGAATTATAAACACTAAGTCTGAAAAACAGGAGTATAAAGTAAATTGCAAAGTAAAGATTTCTATACCAGATGGAATAAAATAATTCTAAAATGAGGTTTTTGTTGCTTACACTAATATGACAATAGTCAAAGAGTGCATGATTCTTTTAAAACAGCCATCTTAGGCGGTATACACCTATTTCAATAATTCTATAACTACTCACAGTATTTTTTAGAACTCTTTTAGAAATATACTCAGATTAACTTAAGAGCCACTCAAGAAATTACATCTCAATGTTGAAACAGGACTCTGACTTCTGTCCAAAAATAATTTTAACCAGTCTGATTACAAACTTTATACCCACCAGATAAATGTGGCTTTAAAGGGCTTTTAGCAATTTCTGAATATCAAATTCACCTTCAAAAAGAGCTCACAACTCTGAAGGCAAGTCTAAAACAAGAGTTTCAAAAACAACAGCACTGTTGGGATAAACACTTTGAACAAGGTAACACTCATATGGATAAGGAAATCAGCATGCTTACATTTATAAAAGAAGATCATCATTATAAAGTTCCCTTCTATGATCACAAAAAGGACAGTACCTCAATTAATAACATTCAATTAAAATGGAAAAAGTAAATATAAAATTTTTTTAAAAATTAAATAACAAAATATGTTAATACTTCATTTATCTGTCACTGAGGGGAGAATAAGGTCTTCTCAAAATTATATTGCCCAGAAAACAAAAGCTTTTTCCTTTCAAGGAATAACTTTTATTAAAAAAAAAAACTTAATAGAAATCTTTCTAAAATGTCTCCCACATTTCAGTATACCTCTAACAGACTAAAACCAATATGATGTTTTCTTGGTAACCTGTTCAAATCAGTACAAGAATCCTTTTATATATATATAAATATACAGTAATCTTTAAAAAATTTTTCTATCTACTCCCTTTGTAGAGTCAGGAGGTAAACTGACTTTTATATTCAGAAGGTCAACTATCTCTTTTCCTTATAGTTGTATAGTCTATTAATTTCTCCCAATCTTTCCTTCTAGCTTGTTCATCCTTCTAATAAGTTCATTAGAAGAAAAAGGCTGGGAAAGCAAAAAATTAAATTGGTAAAAAATGTGCCAAGAGTCAATTAGGCTGAGTTCATCTAGAGTGAAGCACAGATCTTTAAAGGAGATGAAGGCCTTCTCTTGATTGCTTCCTTTCAGAGAACCAAAGCACAGGCCAACTGACTACCAGGTGAAAAATTACAAACTTGAAAATGCTAAATGTTAAAATTTTCATTCAGACCAAAAGTTACATGAAATTTACTCTAAAAAGAAATTATTTTCCTTATACTCCATCTTACTTGAACACATATATCTCACCCAAACTTTCAAATTTAAAAAGATAATAAAAGGAAAGAAAAGGGCACTCATCATGCTTCTTTGGTGAGTCACAGGAACTTTTACTTCAAAGCAACTCTTTTAAGACCTACTGATAACTTACCTAAAACTTCTGTAGCTTTTCTAACAAACAGCAAAACGCCCTTGCAAATAATCTAAACATATCATTTCTTGAAAGTAATTAAAAAGGAGAGGAAAGTAATTTAAATAGGAGAGGAGAAATCAAAGGTAATTTTTACTCTTATTCCCAAATATTCAATTGACTACAAGCAATCCTTGACTTATGTTATTCAACTTCCAGTGATTCACATTTGCAGTTTAGCCAATTATACCCTTATTTCTAGGGCACTATTTTTCAGACTGCTGGCTGCAACCCATCGTGGTGCATGAAATTAATTTACTCTTAATCAGCAATTTTTTTAATGAAATGGAATAGAAATGAAGAGAAAATAGCAGAAAGCATCAAAAACAGTAAGGGTAGTATAGTACTATTTCATTAAATGGTTTCCATTACATTTATGTTGGTGTATAACAGGACATGATATAAAATGTATTTCTTACTGTTCAGATAAAGGTGAAAAATCAGGGGAAAAGGAATTTCAGGGCACTCATAGCACACATGTGAATTTCAAAATTAGTCCCCTTCCTAAAGTGCTCAAGGCAAAGCTCTCCCAGGGCTCCAAGTGTCAGTCTGCAACTCACTCTTTCCCTAGCAGTTTTCAGTTCAAAGCCAACACAAGCAAAGATATCTGAAATGTCTCCAGGCTGTGGGCCCAATCAGCAGTGGGACTGGGAGGTAGGAGAGATCAGCGCTAAGTATATCAAACTGAGAATAAGGAAAGAATATGTAAATAGGAAATGGGCAAAGGGAGAATATCCCATAACCATAAAGTAGAAAATTCATTTTCTCATTCTTTGAAGGTAATACCAAAGAAAGAGCTACAAAAATATTTAAAATAATGGCACTGCAACAGGGAAGTACAGCCTCTGTGAGAGACTATTTTGATAAGTAGTATCCATTTCAATATATGAGCTTTGATAAGTTGGGTTTAGTTTGGTGTTTGGATTTAGTCTCATTACTTTCTCTTCCTACCTTAGATTTACTTTTGATAAATTGGGTTTAGTTTGGTGTTTTGATTTAGTCTCATTACTTTCTCTTCCTACCTTAGATTCAATATGCTAAAATCACTAATAAAAGGGGGAGGAACGGGATCACAACATTGAAGGATACTATCAGCTCTTGGACTTAGGGCTAAAAACCTAAGACTTTTGATTTGGGAATAAACAGTGCTCTCTGTATCTCTGCATTTTGCCACAATTCAAGGGAAAATTTTAAAGCAACTTGACAAAGTGAACAAAGTACGGTAAAAGATCAAAAGAGGAAAACTCCAGGTACACAGGTAACACCATGGTTAGTGCTGATGAAGTAAATGCAAAAAGACCAAGAGCTACTGCACAGGCTTGAAATAGCTGCTGAAATTCTCAAAAACCCATTCAGGGTAACAAAGCAGACAATCTTGAGTCAATTTCTCAAAGTATTAACAAATCATTTAGGTCTCCTTTAAGGCTCTCATCAAAACTGCCTACAAGATAGTACTTCTGAATTACTCTACTCTAAAAAAAAGGTTCTTTCTTTCACTTTGATTTTCTACAATAAAAAAATCATGATGATGAAGTAAAAAAATTTTGTAAATTCTCCATTTTAATAATGTTTCATTAAAATACAATTTTTTAAATTTTTTTAAAGATTTTATTTATTTGAGAGAGAGAAAGGGAGAGAGAGAGAGAGCACATGAGAGGGGGGAGGGTCAGAGGGAGAAGCAGACTCCCTGCTGAGCAGGGAGCCCGATGTGCGACTCTATCCCGGGACTCCAGGATCATGACCTGAGCCGAAGGCAGTCGCCTAACCAACTGAGCCACCCAGGCGCCCTAAGATACAATTTTATGCTAGGTTAGATTGTATTTTATGCATTCTTTATATAGTGCTGTATTATATAGTATAATATATAGTTTTTAAGAAGTCAAAATGGTTTAAAGAGATATACATCAAGTGCTTGATCAAAATGTAACCTATTATAATCCTGTTTCTAAGAGAAAAGTACATTAAAATTAGATACCACAGAGCTCCTTTTCCAAACAAAAGCAACCCATAATAAGTGCAAGGAATGCCTGTATTTTCCAAAGGTTTATTTTAAAGATCATTTTAAAGATAAGTTGAGATGAAAATATAAAATAAGGAAGAAATCTAGAGTAATAAAGATGTTTAAACAATATACCTCTTCCTCCTCCCCCTGGAAGCAAAGGTGAGAGTCTGAGTGGACCCTCCAACAAAGTTGGAGGGGAGAGAAAAGCTCTCGTTTCAGATGAAGGTCGACCCAATGGTGAGGGACCATATGGGGAATGCTCTGGAATAATTAAAACAGCATGTTTAAATTCATAGTTTCAATTAGCTACACTATAGATTAGAATTCCATTTCAACAATTTCCATCAGGTCACCCTATTGCCAATTTAAGTTTAATCCACATCCTGAATACTAACTATGCCTTGGATTTTGCTAATATGGGATAGAATTAAATATGGAACCCTGTGTTTTTAAAGTCTGTCTACCAAATGGATACTGTAGTCAATAAAAACATTATCCTCTTGGTAACTAACACACTTAAATAACCATACAATATTAATAAGCAAAGGATAATGGTGATATTTTAGAGGTATAAAAGGATTTGGGGGCTATGAAGTTTGTTTGCTTTTGCTTTTAATGGCAGTATGCTTCCAGATAGTTCAGCTGGTGAGGGTTGTAATATAAAAGGGCTCAGTTTAAATAAGAGCCAGATAGTCTGTGATGGGCCATGAATTATTTGAGGAAAGCTCAGATTTTGAAAAGTAGAAATGCAAAATCCTCTAAAGCATCAGAAATTACTTTTGATTCATTGCCACTGAAAATTCAGATTACATTTATTCAGCAAATAAATCACTTTATAAACCATATAACCAAGAGCCCTATCATTTTACAAACCTCACCACTCCCAAGTAATGATTATACTTCCAAAGATCAAAAATCAACAACATCAAAAAACAAGCTTAAGTACCACCAAAATAACTTTTTAAACATGTTAAATTTTATTATGTAGCTTATATAATAGTCAAATGCAGTTACAACAAAAGATCAAAGCATTATTTAGTCTTTCTGAAACTTCTGCATTAGGTTCAGAAGAGAATTCCTTCTGTATAATTCCCACCACTCCAAACTTTATTACTATTTGAAATTAATAATAATCTATTTTGTTAAATGTAAAAATACTTTCATTTTAATGAAATTAGACTCTCAAAAGTGATTTTTATACCTTCAAAAGTTATTAAAATGGGATTCCACCTATATAAAGATAGCTTTTGTTTCACTGCCTTAGATGCTTAATTCCAATTCAACCAAAAATTATTTTGAAAAATTTAAACTATTTGGAACAGTATGAGATCATTAAAAATGTTAACTCATTAATGAGTGGACAAGAATATTAAATACATCTTCCAAAGAACTGGTCCTCTCTTGGAGGTAATTAAAGCAATGAAAGCTCAGATTATTGTTTTCCCACCTTAAATTGATACTTTTAAATAATTAAAAACAACTGTTATAATTCTTGTTTTTATAATTCAAGCAAATTCCGAAGAATAGTGGATATGTAAACAGTCACAACATTATTCCATTTAAGCACTCCTTATTCATTCTCCCCCAAAATTATTGAGTACCTTACTACGTGCCAAGTACTTTGCTTTTCAAGGAGTTCAATGTACTAAATAGACATCATCTTACAAAGGCCCACTGAGAAATGGAGGCAGCAATTATTTATATTTTTGCTAGGGAAACAAAACTCAGAAACTTGGGAGATTGTGATAGAACTCAGATTAGAATCCTGGCTCCAAAATCTAAAATATTTATAAATAATGGTATTAATTTACACTAATATAAAAGGTATGTGCAATATATACATATATATATATGTATTTTAAAGGAGGGTTTAAAAAAAAAGACTACCTCTGCCAAATGCTGTATTTGGAACATCAAGTGCATAAGGATCTTTTTCTAAAAGTTCAAATTTAAACTCTGTTTCAGTTAATCTGCAAATAAAGAACAAACATCTCTAAGTTACTCATCCAAGAAAAGCACCCACATTTCAAGAAAAATGCCACTACCAAGTATAAGGTACTCTTCACTACCTCAATATCTACATAGAAGAAACAGATCTTTAAAATTATTCTTACGAGTAATATATGTAATTGTCAAATAACTATATTGTACTCCTGAAACTAATAGAACACTGTGTGTTAACTAGACTGGAATTAAAATTAAAAAAAGAAACCAAAATAAACAAACATTCTGACCAAAACACCTTTCTATTGTTCTGTTTTCAAAACTAAATTACAGTGAATACTATTATCACAGAACCCAAATTTTAGAAATAGCAGGGCCTTCCAAGGTCAACCAGTTCAAATCTATCACTTTACAACCAAGGAAACAGGGCTAAAAGTTTACATGATTTATTCAAAATGAAAGTGCAGGATTAAACACAGGGCTCCTAGCTCCGAGTCATGTCTGCTTTCCATTATAATGTTACCCACGATTCCAATCATAACATAAGAATCCAGTGAACTCATACTATTTTACTCCTAAACCTTTTATCTGAAAAATGTGACATTTTAAAAGAAATCTTATTTCTAGTTTTTGATCATCGGATCTGAAATAAAACATAATAAAACATTTAATCATGGAGTTTTAATTTCAGAGTAGAAAAGATCAGCAAAAAGACTAAACTAATATTGGATAATGTTAATAATACATTCTGGCAAGAAATTTTAACACCTGGGAAGACTATTATAATCCTCCTAGAAAAGTATTTACTCTTCCTTTTGATTATACATTGTAAACTTTTATTCTCCCTTTCATTTTATTATTGTAAGGCACTGTCGTCAAATACAAGAAAACCAGAGAATGAGAGAAACAATAAACATTTATTCTACCCATTCATCTACTAAAAGATGCCACTACTCTGAGAATTACTACATGAAAGATTTGTCCTTTCTCTTTCCATCCCTTGTAATCGCCTTCTTCCTACTCTGGTTTGAAAAAATTTTTTTTTAAGTTATGCTTTTTACAGAAGAACATATGAACAGTTTACTTCTGTTAAAATAACTTCTCTAAGACAAGTGTTTCAAACAAAAAAAATCTAGTAACTCATAGTAAAACTAATAAATATTTCACCACCAGGTATGCTGGATCCATGCAAGTTTTATTTATCCCTATAAAAGTACTACATAATAAATAACAATTAAAAATAAAGTACTAACTAAAGCTTTAAAGTGTTCCCACAAAGATACTTACTTTTGTCTATTGTGAGCATTTTCTTTCCTCAAATCATTAAGATTTCTTTCAGCAGTCCGAGCTGCCAACTTAAAGAAAATAATACATTTTTTATCTTTTTTTGAAAATACATATTAAAAATAACACATACAAACGTAAAATGAGAGATAAGTATTCATAAATATCACAATCACTTAAGTATCCATTTCAGAAACTCATCGTAAAAATTTTTTAATTTAGGGTATTGTTTAAAAGGGTATGAGTTTCCTATAACCAGAAGACATGAGTCTCAAGGCTGGAGTCTGATCACGTACTTGCCAATGAATGCTGTTATCTAGATGTGAAGTTAAGGATTAGCACTATTTCCTGCTGTCAATATCCAAACAACATGACAAAAGCAATGTAAGAGGACCCGAGCTTAGGGTGATGGGAATGGAGACACAGAATCATTAGGCATGGATACACTGGCTATAATATCACAGATAGCCGTCTCTGGAGAGAAATCACTATCTGCAATGAAACCATAAAGGTCTGTAACAGTTTCACAGCACACACAATAGGCCATTTTTTAAAATGGCTGAATATAATCAAAGCATGCAGCATGTCTGTTAAGTGCACAGCACTGTAAAAATCAATTCCTATAGTCTTTTACATTTGTTTAGTGAAATTTTTATTTAATAAAAGGTTAGAAAATCACAAAATAAACTTACACTTATAAAAAATACCAAGAACATATAATATTCCTAAGTAGTTTGTGGGCAAAGGTTAAACGTGTATGGAATACTGTATGCATGTTTTCCCAGTCATTCTGTGAACTTTCCAGTTAGGAAGTAGCAGTGTCTGGAACATCAGACCTGGCCAAACTAATGCAATCCACTTGGGCAAATGTATTTATCATACAAAGGTAGGCAACTTCACTCAGTCTATAACCACAACTTTTTACAGGTAAAAAGAACTATCTATCAAATGTATTCACTTAAAATTATGAACTACACATTAAAACTGACATTAACTGGCCAAAGAATAAAGTATGTTAAATATTCACACACACATACACAAAAAAACATAGCTTAACCATATTTTAGCATTCATTATCAAAAAGATTCCATGTATAAATCATTTTCTAACATAACCATATAATCAATTTTATACTAACAAAAAAGAATATTATACATAACAATTTTAGTTAATAAAATACCAATTCATTTAATAATGCAGAACCAAAATTGCTTCTAAATGTTTTCTACACATTTAGTATAACCTGTTTACTCTTAATTATAAAGCACAAAACAATGCAAAGTTAATAAGTCAAAAGTAAATTCTACTATGATTATAGTGCTATCAATATGAAAGACATATCTACAAAAAATATAAATATAAATGCACCCATGCTAAATGATTACAAGCTTTTGAAAAGCTTACACTTCAAAGGTTAGGTAAAACTGTACTTTCAATGAATGACCACACTGTATTCAGATATTAAATACTTACAATATGCAAAAAAGCATTCTATTAAGTACAGGTATTAAAGGAAAAGAAACAGTCCCTATCTTAAGCAGCTTAAATCTGTGGTAAGGACAACTATAAATGACCATAGTACTTGCCACAGAACACATAAAAACAAAGTATTATGTGAATTCAGAAGAAGAAAAGATTAAATCTAATGGGATGGAGCAAAGAAATGCTGAAAGGAAAAAGTAACATCTAAAGTTGTGAAATTATTTATAACAGTAAAAAAGTAGAAACAAAGGAAACATTTATCAAATGGGAAAGGTTTATATAAATTATAAAATATTCAGGGGCACCTGCGTGGCTCAGTCGGTTAATCGTCTGCCTTCAGCTCAGGTCATGATCCCGGAGTCCTGGGATGGAGCCCCACATCGGGCTCCCTGTTCAGCAGGGAGTCTGCTTCTCCCTCTGCCCTTTACCCTGCCTGTGCTCTCTCTCACTCTCTCTCAAATAAATAAAAATCTTAAAAAAAATTATAAAATATTCATAGAAAAATATCTACAATATATTAAATAAAGCAGGATATAAAAGTTATATATAGCAAGTTTTCAGTTTTTAAAACATACATGTGATTTATGTCTAAATATATTTTTTTAGGTATAGAATAAATGAAAGTGATATGTTGATTACTTCTTTGTACATCTTTTCTATATAGTCTGAACTTTTTATTCACTAAGTATACATAATTTTTATAAAATCTAAAAAAAAATCATTTTGAGGGGTGTCTGGGTGGCTCCGTTGGTTAAACTTCTGCCTTTGGCTCAGGGCATGATCCCAGGGTCCTGGGACGGAGCCCTCGGGCTCCCTGCTCAGTGGGGAGTCTGCTTCCTCCTCTCCCTCTTTCCCTCCCCTTGTTCATATGTGCACTCTCTCTCTTTCTCTCTCTCGCAAATAAATAAATAAAATATTTTTTAAAAATCTTCATTTTGAGACATAAAGGATATTTTTTCCATTTTTGCATTCCCCCGCAGAGGGAGTGGCAGGCAGAGGGAGACGGAGCAGACTCCCTGCTGAGCAGAGAGCCTGACGTGGGGCTCAATTCCAGGACCCTGGGATCATGACCTGAGCCAAAGGCAGATGCTTAACTGACTGAGCCACCCAGGTGCCCCCTTTTTGCATGTTTTAACATAAAGTCAATGTCATTATTTACTAAACAAGAAATGCAATGTACAGTAACAGAAAAAGCTCAGACTTGGAATCAAAAAGGTCAGAATTTCAATCTCTACTCTTCACTCTTTGATCATGTGACCTTGGGCTGTTTCCTCATTTGTAATATTTGAATTATAATACCTATTTTATAGTTATTATGTGGATTGAATGAGCAAAATGCCTTTAAGTATAGTGTCTAGAATACAAGAGACTAACAAACATCAGTTCTTCTTATCTTTAAAAAATAATCTGTTCTTAGTATTCAGAAAGTAGTGGGGAGTGGTGGAAAAGATTAAATTCATCTCCAAGCCCAGCTTAATTCAATAACAAATCTTCACTTGAGCCCTCAACACAAAATCTGAGAAACGGGAAAAGCCCGGAAATTCAACATGTCTAATTCTCAACCTATGCTGGAATCTCCACTCCAAGAAATATCCACATCTAAGAACTATCTCCCAAGCTTCAGTACAACAGTGTAATAATAGTTAACATGTACTGAGTGCTTACTATGTGTCAGGCTCCTGGCTAAGAGCCTTACATGAGTTATCTTACTTACTCATCATAGTAACTCTATGAAATAGGTACTATTAATATATCTATCTTTCCTTACAGGTAAGGAAACAACAGATGTTGCTGTTACAGGTGATGGAACCAGGATACCAACCATGACAGGCTGACTCCAGACTCCATGTGTTCATCCACTGTGCAAACTGTCTCCCCTTGAAGACTCCTAGGGACAAGTCCTACAAACACCAGCTATTACAACAGCTCTACATATTAGACAGACCAGTCCTACAATTAGTAGAACCTATATCCTTATCATTTCCTTACACAGTCCTCCTCTGGAGCACTGACAAGCCGTTTCTCACAATGATCTTTTTCTTGATATGTATCAAGTAATTCAACACTGAGAATCAGATACCCAAACTGTGTAACTTTTACAACCAGAAGAGGCTTTCAATATCACTTAGTTCAATCTCTTGTTTTTACAGATGAGCAAACAGGCCCAGTAATTTTAAGTAACTTGTCCACATAATCAGTGATAATCCAGGGTCCTCAAACAATTAATCCATGAACATTACATCACCTCCCCCAGAGAATATAAGCTCCTTGCAAAGTAAAAGCAAAGAGGAAAACACCAGATTTTGTGAATAACTGTGTTATAACAAAGTATTTAGTTCATAAAGAACTTAATTTCACCACTAGTAAAATGAAAAGAAAATGATTTTATTTAATACTAACCTAATTTGCAGTATGAAAGTATACCTTTTAAACTGCTCATTTAAATTAGGAAAAAGAACAACATGACAAAGAGAATTTAAAACTCACCCAATTATCATGTGCTTTTCTCTCATGGGAAATAATCTGAAAAAGAAATTCATTAAAATACTACTGGTTTTCTTGGGGTGCCTGGGTGGCTCAGTCGGTTAAGCGACTGCCTTAGGCTCAGGTCATGATCCTGGAGTCCCAGGATCGAATCCCGCATCGGGCTCCCTGTTCGGCAGGGAGTCTGCTTCTCCCTCTGACCCTCCCCCCTCTCATGTGCTCTCTCTCTCTCTCATTCTCTCTCTCTCAAATAAATAAATAAAATCTTAAAAAAATAAAATAAAATAAAATACTACTGGTTTTCTTAAATAAAAAATTTCACATCTACTACTATGATTTTAGTACACAACTCATAAACTCAAAAATAACTCAAGCATCTCTGAAAAGTAACATTTTTAAAGCAAATTTTCATATACACGATTTATTATATTATTCTTATAACAAAAACTGAATGAAATTTGTCTAGTAAATTTCTGTTTTATGCAATAATCAACTACAATGAGTTACCAACTAAGAGATAATTAGCCCAAGTGAATATGAGACCCCCAATGCAGATATACATTTATTTATTTATTCAATCCACATTCCCAAAGAAGCAGGAGACATGGCAATTTTAAACAAGGTCTCTTATTCCAGAACTTTGGCTCCCTATAAATGTCCCATAGACATGTGCAAAACCTCAAGAGAAGTGTACAACTATCAAGTAACTATCTATACTCCTATATCAAAATAGAGATAAACAATTCAAACAAATCATAATTGTTTTAATTTACACACACACACACACACACACACACACACACACACACACACACACA